GGCTGGATGAGACTGTCATCACCTCCGTGGTGGGATCTGCTGGACCAGCTGAGCAGATGCCTTAGGGATGGGGGCTGCTGCCAGGAGATAAGGAGAAGCTTTGAGAAAGGTCTCAAGCTGCTTGGCACATCTGGGCCCTGCATTTGGACAGGTCATCTGTGGTCTGCCGATCTTGGGACTGTTTAACCCGTGGCCTGCCATGTTGCTTGATAATCTCGGGACTGTGCCGTTTACTTGTTGACCTTGGGTCTGTCAGCCTCCGCAGCCAGCAGCTGCCTGAGTCAGGAGAAGCCTCCAGCTCCAGTGGGCCGGGAGCCAGAGGCAGAGCTGAAGCCCAAGGGCGAGGGCCTTCACCTGGCCCCCAGAGCTGGGACTTAGAACTCCAACTTCCAGTTTCCTAAACTGTGAGAATACATCTCTGTTTGTTAAAGCCACCCGTTTGTGGTATTTTTCTGTTACAGCGGCACTAGGGGATCGAGACTGTTGGGTACAGGTGTAGATGAGTCACCCGACAGTCTGTGTTGCACAATGAGGAGGGATCTGGGTCTGGCTTCAAGGTCCGGAGTGCAGCCCTCTGGTCTCTGAGCGGGGAGGAGCGGGTGGCTTAAAAGCGAGGTTAGCAGTTTGCCGTCACTGCCTGCCGTTCAGAGTTAATCAAAAAGTGAAGGACTGACCTGTTGATGTTTCTAGTTGTTTACAATTGTATGACAAAATTTACCAAATGTGATTTTGCGGAATTAAAAAATTTTTAAATGAAAACAGAAAATTTGAAAAACAGAATCAAACAAAAAGCCCCTTAAAAGACACCCTTCCTGCTGGTGCACTGAGCACAGTGGGGGGTGGGGTGTAAAAGCCGTCCTGAGACTGAGAAGTGTATGTGGTGGAAGGTGAGTGGATCCAGGTCCCACCTGCCAAGGGTCACATGGAAGACCAGCCGTTGGGTCAACAAGCCCAGCAGGGGGAGCACTGCCAACCCCCCCACAGGGACACAGAGACGACAGGCCCGATGGCCTTTCTGGGTTGCCAGGGGCCTCAAGAATGGCGCACACTCCCTTCCGGGACCTACAGATGAAGAAACAGTCCCACAGAGGGGAAGCGACTGGTTGACCAGGCTGGTGCTCCCTGTGGTGTGAAGACAGGAGTCCCAAACATGGGTCAGGAGACATGGCTCCCCATCTGGTCCTGCCTCTGTGACTCTGGCAAGTCATTCAGTCTCAGGGCCTCAGTTCCCTCTCTGTGGCACTGGACTTACGTGTCACCCAGAGTGACACACAGCTACAACTGAGGAAAGAACTGCCAACAAATCAGGATGCTTCTGGGTAGCCAGAGCATGTGTCCACAGGGCCACTCTCCTGTGGAGGTCCCAAAGTATACCTGTTCTAGAATGCTCCCAGGTGTGTCTGCAGCCCCAGGTCCACGAGCCCACTGGACAAGTTCTACTGTGTCCTCCTCCACGTCCCCCCGACCCCTCATTCCCGCTCCACCCAGAAGGACCTGTGGAATGAGGGGCAGTACCTCTCCAGCATAGCGGTTGCGCAGATTCAGGGATGCCATGAAGTTGGAGTAGTCCTTCTTCACGCAGGCCGGACGCTCAGTTAGCTGAGTTGCCTGTGGACAAGGACCAGCGAGCATTTCAGACCCAGCCACATCTTCCATGGCTATACACAACGGAGAAGTCATGGCTGTTAAAAGTCTTCAGTGCTGGCAGGTGAATCAGATGGAACATTCTGGAACACTCATGGTGTGGCGCAAGGCTGGGGAGGGAAGCACTGTGGCCTGGGAAGTCTCTCCAGAGGCAGCTGGGGTTAGGGCTTCACTGTTCTCTCCACACGCCCACTCCTGGTGCAGGCAGGACTCTGCCACCAAGCTGCCACTAGGTTGCCTGACAACCATATGGACAACCATATGCCCACTCCCGGTGTGGGCAGGACTTTGTGGACAAGACCACCACTAGGTTGCTGTGACAACCGTAATCACATGGCAACACTGCAACAGCTCATTTCAGCACGTTATGCCGGGTTGTGGTATCTATGTAATGTTCAGAAGGTGCAGGAGCTGAGAAGGTGAGGACGTGACCAACCAGGGCAGTGTCTAATAAATAGATGGAGACAAAAAGGTGCCAAAGGGGGGAAGAAGTGACCACACGGGGTGGGGCTGCGTGTGGTCAGGGCACCAGAGGGGGACACCTTGTGAAGAGGCAGTGGGGCGCAGCAGGGACAAGCTTCTGCAGCACGTCACAGGACCACGAGGACCAGCAGGAACACCCCATGGGGCCGGCGCATGAGTTCAGAGAAGTGAGTGTCAACAGTGTGGTCTGGAACCAGGGGCAGTGAGGACATGTCATTCATTTGGACATTCAAACACTAGGTGCCCGTGTTCATGGCGGCACTACTTACAACAGCAAAAAGACGGAAATCACCTAAGTGCCCGTCCACAAAGGAACGGATCTACAAGCCCTCGTCCAAGCACACAATGAAATACTCCAAACCAGAAACCAAACCTGCCGTCGAGTCAATTTGACTCATAGCGACCCCTCCTTGGGTTTCTGAGGTGCTCACACCACAGAAGTAGATTGCCCAGTCTTCCTTCCAAGGAGTGGCTGGTGGGTTTGAACCGCCAGCCTTCTGGTTAGCAGTCAAATGCCTTAGGTACCATGCCACCAGAGCTCCCAGGGGAATACTACAAAACATTAAAGAACAACCATGAATCTGTGAAACACCTTACAACACAGGGGAACTCAGAGGCCATTAGGCTGAGTAAAGTTAGTCAATTCCAAATGGACAACTACTGAATGAACCCACTACTGTAAAACGCCAAGAAAAGAGTTTCACACAAAAAGAAACATTCTCTGATGGCTTCCACAGGTGGGAGGGGAAGGGGGCATAAACCACTAACTAGACAAACCAACAAGGTCCCCCACCAAAAGGGTTTTAGGGGGGCTGGGATTGGAGGAGTGTCCGTCAGGCTGCAGGCTGATGCACACATTCTCGACAGGAGGTGGCTACTGCGCTGTGTCCACTGTGGTCAGAGGGCAGGCCCAGGCTCCTGCCAGCTCCTGGCCCCCAATGGCATGAGCCATCCCTTATCCATGTCCTCATGTAATGGAGACAGTAAGGGCACACACCTCGCAGGGCGTGTGATAATCCGACCAGCTTGCACTGTGCATGCCTGCATGCAGCAGTGGGCACCGACACTCATTTTGGGAATAAGAGGCCCCCTGAGAATGGATGGTCTGACCAGGGATTTGGCTGGCAGATCATTCCAGATGGCCGTGTCATGGGAAACACGGTGCCGGTGGCCCCAAAAGGCCACAGGTGGGAGTCACAGAGCCTGTGGGCAGACACAGAAAGGCAAGTGTGAAACCCAGATCCACCAGAAACAGCTAGGCCAGGAATGTCAACACTGGTAGCCTCATCTGTGCGGCCCCACCTCAAAGCCCTAAAGCTACTCTTTCCCTGAGTCCCTTCTCCAGCCCTATTCCTCTTTCTGTACCTGGTTCCCCCTACTCTGTCCAGCAAAGCCAGGGCACAGGGCAGGAGCCCCATCACACTGTTGCAGCAGTGTCCCCCACCCTCAGACCCAGGAGTTTCAAGGATCCCTCTTCCTCACCCCAGCTTGTCCCTTGTGATTGTGAAGGTTGTATGTGAATGTAGCTGGGCCATGATTCTCAGTGGTCTGGGAGTTATGATGTTATCATCTCCCATGAGATCTGATATAATGTAATCAACTCTGTGAGATCTGCTAGCAGCAGCCAATCAGTGAAAAGGGTGTTTCCTTGGGGGTGTGGCCTGCTCCCACTATATATGGACCTCCTGGCAGAACTCTCTGCCTTTTGCTCAATCTTGATCCTGCACCTGGCTCGTCATCATCTGACCTCAGGTTCTTTGGACTTGAACCAGCGGCCTGCCATACTGCCTGCTGATCTTGGGTTCAGCAGCCCCTGCAGTTACATGAATCAGGAGAAGCCTCCAGCCTGATGTCTGACCCCTGGACTTGGGACTTGCCAGCTCCTGCAAGTGCATGAGCCATTTCCTTGAGATAAATCTCTCTCTCTGTATATAAACTTTGCTGCTTTCACTTCTCTAGCAATCCCAGCCTAAGACATCACTACTATCATGCAATTCAGCTATGGCTTGGTCTGGCTCATGGGAGGCTGTGGAGAAATGACCAATTTTCTCACCTTCCCCTCAGCACCTTTTTACTAAAAGTCCACACCAGCTACCAGTTTCTTGAAAAGATGTCATTGTTAGGTGCCATCAAGTTGGTCGTGACTCACAGCGATCCCATGTACAACGGAACGAAACACTGCCTGGGCCTGCACTATCCTCACAATCCTTGCTATGCCTAAGCCCATCGCTGCAGCCACGTGTCAGTCTATCACGACACAGGTCATCCTCTGTTTCTCTGACTCTTTTCCAAGTCCCTGTCCAGGGACTGGTCCTTCCTGATCACATGACCAAAGCATGAGAGATAAAGTCTCACTATCCTCACTTCTAAGAAGTATGCTTGCTGTACTTCTTCCAAGGCAGACTTGTTTGTTCGTCTGGCAGTCCGCTGTATTTTCAGTATTCTTCACCAACATCACAATTCAAAGGCATCAACTCTTCTTCAGTTTTGCTTATTCACTGTAAAGAATTTACATGCATATGAGGTGACTGAAACTACTATGGTTTGGGACAGGCACACCTGAGTCTTCAGAGTGACATCTTTGCTCTTCAACACTTTAAAGAGGTCTTTTGAAGCAGATTTGTCCAGTGCAATATGACATTTGATTTCCTGACTGCAGCTTCCGTGGGCACTGATTATGGATCCAAGTAAAATGAAATCCTTGACAACTTCAACCTTTCCTCCATTTATTATGATGTTGCTTATTAGTCCAGTTGTGAGGATTTTTGTTTTATGTTGAGGTGTAATACATACTGCAGACTGTAGTCTTTAATCTTTATCAGTAAGTGCTTCATGTCATCTTCACTGTCAGCAAGCAAGGTTGCGTCATCTGCTTATCGCAGGTGGTTAATGAGTCTTCCTCCAATCCTGATGCCACGTTCCTCTTCATGTAGTCCAGCTTCTCGGATTATTTGCTCAGCACACAGATTGATTAAGTATGGTGAAAGGATACAACACTGACACACTCCCTTCATGATTTCAAACCACGCAGTATCCCCTTGTTCTGTTTGAACAACAGCCTCCTGATCTATGTACAGCTTCCTCATGAGCATAATTAAGTGTTCTGGTATTCACAGTGTTATCCATAACATTCATTCTACTCAGAAACAGAAATCTGATCTCAAGAATAAATGAAGCTCAAACCTCTAGAGGTAATCCACATACTCAATATATCAGCAAAAGAAGAACATGACATTTCTCGGCTGCTGGGGCAGGCCACTGTGTGAGCCAGCTCCCCCCACTCTGCTGTCACAAGGCAAGCTGGCCTGAGGGGCGTGGGGCCCAGCACCCAGGTACTGAGGGGTCCGGTGGCACCTGATGACTCAGTCCTCTGGCGGCATGGCCTGACACCTAGCTCCCAACACTGTCCCTCTGAGGCGGCTCTTGCTTTCTGGAATATTCCGAGTGATACTAGGAGTTGCTCAGTGGGGAGCCTACAGTCTACCTGCTGCCCACAGAGCAGGGGCTGTGTCAGCCAGGGTTTCAAGCACTCCAACACTCGGAACACAACACAATCATGTCGTTTCCTGTTCACAGCAGAGGAGGGAAGCCTGGGGTTGTAGTTAAGCTTGTGTCAACTTGGCTGGGCAACTGGATGTAGTAATTCCCAGTATGAGACTGGTCAACAACTCCATGGTGGAATCTATTGGAGCAGCTGAGTAGCTGCCTTTGGGATGTGGTCTGGTGCCAGTAGATAAGGAGAAAAGTTGAGAAAGGTCTCTGAGATTTCTGGCATGCTTGGACCCTACATGTAGTCAAGTCTTATTCAGCAGCCTGCTATGTTGTCTGCTGATCCTGGAACTGTCTCTGGACTTGAATTAGTGGCCTGCTGTGTGGTTTGGTAACATTGGAACTGTGCCATTTTACTTGTGAATCTTGGGTTTGGCAGCCTCAGCAGCCAGCAGCTGCCTGAGTTAAGAGAAGCCTCCAGCTCCAGTGGCCCAGGAGCAAGAGGCAGAGCTGAAGCCCAAAGTTGAGGGGCTTTCACCCAGCCTCTAGAGACTGGCACTTTGAACTAGGACTTCCACACTCCTAAACTCTAAGACATAAACTCCTATTTGTTAAGACCTCCATTTGTGGTATGTTACAGCAGCACTAGGGAACAAAAACACCCAGCTTAATGAATTTTTGAGGATGATGATTAAAACCTTGTAGGCAAAACCGACCTCTTGGGGATCAGCCTAGCAAAGGACGGCCACCTGTCACAAACTTCCTTAAGTTTACAAGCTCTGCGTCTGGCCTTTGTATGTGTCCTCAGTGTCCAGAGTCCTAGGTCTGGGAGCCATGCCCAGCAGTGACCTGTACCCCTGCCCTGTCAGAGTGGGAGGGATCAGGGCGGCAACCCGGCCACAAACTCGGCTGTGTGTGGCTGAGCAGGCCACGTCTGTAGATACTGATGGCTTTAGAAGAAACACGAAGAATGTTCACTGAGCGCTCCGGTGACCCGATCAGGAATGAGAGGATGTCTGCTCTGGCCCCAGCCACGGTCCCGTACCCAGGGTCTGACTCTGGCTCCACCTCCTAGCTGGAGGTCAGTGGCATGATGAGGAGTCGCGGAGTGGTCCTGGCACCCCTCCCTCCCAGGTTCTCAACCTCGGCATCTCCACCATGTCACACGCTCACGAGACAGCCAGCCAACCTGCCTGCACTACACTTCTGTGAGAGCGTGACAAATCACGTGAGCCGCACAGAGATGCCCCGTCCCAGTTAACCAGGAGTATCCATCCGGTGCTGGTGACCGAGGCCACCACGCTCCAAAACACACTGCCAGCCAGAGCACCAGCTGCCAACTGCCTCTTCTGACCCCACACTGTCATGTCTCTTGTGAGCTAGGGTGCTGAACAGCTCTGCTGGAGTCCTGGGTGGTGGAGGTGGCTGACGTGCTTGGCCGCTAACCAAAAGGCTGGCGACAGGAGTCCACCCAGAGATGTCTGAGAAGAAAAGTCTGGCAACTTCCTTCCCCAAAACCAGGCACTGGAAACGCTGTAGGGATCAGTTCTATTCTGACACATGCCGGGGTGACAGCAGTCAACTTGATAGGACCTGTTCATTGGCACGAGTCCATCGCCCTCTTGCTTTGTCTGGGAGAACAAGACTGACCAGAGGACGCCCGTGTGCAGGTTAGCCCCTGCTGGAAACAAACCAGTTGTGAAGTCGAGTGGGCCTTCCAGATAAACGTGACTGCAAGATACTGGAGCCCAGGCCTGGTGGGGGCCAGTTTCCCTCTGTTGTGATGGGGATGCCCAGATATCAAAATTGAATGTCATGCATGAGGTAAGCTCAAGCCTCTCGAGGGAACGCGCATATTCAAAACACCAGCCAAAGAAGACCATTTGCAGCCTGCACCTGGTGCAGGGAGCCCGCCCCTCAGGGCGTGCACCTACCCCGAGAGTTGTGCTCTGCCTATTGTAGCCAGCGTAGTGGAGGATGCTCTCGGTGGCCATGGCCAAGCCTGTGTGCTGGGACAGTCCCGACACCCAGTTCTGATGCTTGTTCAGGTATTCCTGAGAGGAGAAAAACATCATTTTACTTTAAAAGCAAAGAAGCAAGTGGAGGGGGGCGTCTCCCTCACGCCCCTGCTGCAGTGGGATGGGTGGGACAGCCAGCAGGGACTAAGTCTGAGTCTGTCTAGGGTGACACCTGGTGAGCACAGAGGGGTGGGGGGACACAGGCCCAGAAGCACAGGGGCTCAGCACTGAAGGAGCGCCAGGAACAAGGGCCAGAGACAAGGCCGGCCACCAGAGGCCTCAGGAGCCAAGGAGTTTAGGCTGAGCTGCACAACCCCCACTAGAATTCCTGCGAGCCCCCCCCACAAGACGGTGCCAGGGCTGAGGAGGGGGCCTGATCCCACAACCTCACTCCGGGGACTCATGATGATGGGGGTCGCTGGTGATCAGGGATGGTGAGGCTGAGAGAGAGCTTCTCAGAGGTAGGTGAAGGGCTACAGGACAGCATGGCTGTGCAGGGTGATGGGGCGGACGGTGGGGGGTGGGCTGGGAGAATGTCAGGCTTATTTTTTGAGCTTTCTCCCTCCATCTCCTCCTAAGCCCAGCCTGAGAGAACACCAGAGGAAACTGAACTCTCCTGACCAGCCATGGCTCGTCCACTGAGGCCTTCAGGTGCAAGGGACTGCAGCCCGGGAGCTGCCCTCTTCCTTGGCATAAGCCAGAAGCTGGACGTTTCGCAAACGCCAGCAGTTTGCGAAAGGACCACATATTCTGGAAAATTCTACGGCCAAGACGAGGGCTCCAGCGTGGCTGACCTGTTCAGCCGCTCTGTCTAGCCTCTGTCTATAGACAACCCTCTATCTGGTTTGGTCCTATAGGGCTCCAGCTGGGGCGTGGCCGACCCCTCCGGCCGCTCTGTCTAGCCCCTGCTATAGACAGCCCTCTATTCTGGTTCGATCCTATAGGGCACCAACTGCAGGCATGGCTGAATCTTCCAGCGGCTCCGTCCAGCTGGCTCACGACAGAACACATGGCCCTGTATCCCGGGGCAATGCTGCTCCACTCAGGCATACTGGTGGAAGGCAGAACCTCCCTGGCCACCCTCAGGCACTGCCCGTGGGCTCTTACAAACAAAAACGGTGGCTGCCATGGTCCCTGGAGCTGGGCCTCTGTCCTTGCTGGATTCCAACTCAGCAGCTGAAATGCTGTGTGACTCGCCTCCTCCATGGAGCCATCAGGGCATCCCGATGAGCTCGCTCCCCACCCGGCTCCCACTGGCCTGATCCTCCCCCGTCGCCCTTCAAGGTGACTCCTGCCGTCTGCACTAGGGCATGGCTCCTCTGCCTGGCCATCTCAGGGACAACGGCTTACCTTAGTCATCAGTGCTCACCCACCCAGTGCCCTTGTCCAAAACGACTCGTGTGCACATGTATGCACGCAGTCCAGGGAGTGCACCCATCGGGCAGACAGTTTGACACTGCCCCCTGCTTTTCCCTAACCCCTGACTCCTGCCCTCACCTGTCCTGCCAGCCGCCTCCACATTCTGCCAGAATGGTGCACCTCTTGCCTGTGAGCCTCTGGGTCCCCGGCCTCCTGCCACACACACCTGCCCTCCTTACCACCTCACCAGCCCACCTGCCCCCATGGCACCTGACTCAGATCTGCCTTGGAAGCTCCCAGTACTCTCAGGCACTGGCCTGATATTTTTGGTCTCTATTCGGTTATTTAAGGAACTAAGTGCTAAGTGCCTGAAGCATTTAACTGCTATCCAGAAGGCTAGTGGTTCAAATCCACCAGCCACTCCTCAGAAGGAAGAATAGGCAATGTACTTCTGTAGAGATACTGCCTCGGAAACCCAAAGAGGGGTCGCTATGAGTCGAATCGACTCAATGGCAATGGGTTTGGTTTTTGGTTTTATTATTTAGTCCCCAAATCCTCAGGTGGTACAAAGGGTTAAGGGCTTGGCTGGCAACCAAGAGGCTGGAGGCTCAAGTCCACCTGGAGGTACCTGGGAAGGAACGGCTGGCAGCTGATGCCCAAGGACCCGGCTGCTGAGAACCTGTGGTGCAGGGTTCGACGCTGGCCCTGTGGACTTGGCAGCCAGTGACTGTTAGTCACCCCAGCCCTGCTGGTATTGAGCTCCTCATCTGTCTAAGGCTAGTGGGGGGACTCTCTAATGACCTCAAGAGTACCTGCAGGTGGGACTTGGTGACCGTTGGTGCCCACTTCATGGCCTCCTGGAGAACCATCCCACAGCGTGCAGCAAAGTCCTTCACGATGCTCTGGAAGAAGGGGTGATGTAACACGCCCGGGGGGCCTGTCCACCAGTGCCAGTAGACAGGAGCCAGCCATGCAGCACAGTGCCGTGTCTGCAGGAGCTGCTGCCCTGTGTCCCGCGGAGGCCATCACACTGCCCCTGTGCAGCAGGGCCCACGATTCACTGACAGACGGGAGGGCAGGTTCTGAGTGCCACGTCACCGCAGGGAGGCTCTGAGTGGGACATGGCCGGTCCAGGCCCAAGGAGCTGCTATTAGACCTGAGGCTTCAACCCTGCCCAGTGAGGGCTCTGGATTAAACTCAGACAGGGAGGGAGAAAAGGCCTCTGGTGGCCCAGTGGTTAAAGCATTTGGCTGCGAACCAAAAAGTTTGTAGTTTGAACCCACCAGACATTCTATGGGAGAAAGATGAGGCAGTCAGCTTCCATGAAGACTGACAGCCTTGGAGACCCTGTGGGGCAGTTCCACTCTGCTCTCTAGGGGCGCTGTGGGTCAGAATGGACTCCATGGCAGTGGGTGTGGTTTGGGCTTTGCTTCCGTGAAGATTGACAGCCTTGGAGACCCTGTGGGCAGTTCCACTCTGTCCTCTAGGGGTGCTGGGAGTCGGAATGGACTCCAGGGCAGTGGGTGTGGTTTGGGCTTTGCTTCCACAAAGACTGACAGTCTTGGAGACCCTGTGGGGCAGTTCTACTCTGTCCTCTAGGGGCTATGAGTCAGAATCGACTCCATGGCAGTGGGTGGGTGAGAGGGAGACGCCTACTGCAGGGTAAGAAACAAACCTCACTGGAGCTACGTATCTGTCTACTTCCTCACTGTAGCAAAAAGCCAAAACTACAAACCACACTGTGAGGATAAAGAAGTAGTCAGCGGCTCAGGGATGGGACCGTTACTGGTCTGAGAGCCAAGCCCTGTCTGCTAGCAGAGAACCCTTCAGCTGCTAAACCAAGAATGCAGCTGGAACCAGCAGGGCTGAGGGGAGCGTGCAGGCTCTGAGGACAGAAGGACGGGGAGGGAGCACAGCGCACCTTATATGTGCGAGTAACCTGGCGTTGCAGGGTGTCCTCGGTGAGGGGCAGGGCTCCTCCCACTCACACCTCAGATGACCGAGGAGACAGACACAAGGTAACTTCCCTGCAAACTGTATCCGGCAGGGAATGTGAGACACTAGCAGGGAAAGTTGTCCATGGACAGGGCAGCGCTGGCCTACCTCTCGGGCCTCATAGGTGTCGGGAACTGTGATCCGGTAGGGCACATCAGGGATGTTGTAGTACGGCTGGTCCTTGTGAATATCCTGAAAGCACAGAAGGACACTGTGGCCCCAAATGCCCTGTGGTCCACCCTGCCGCCCGCCCCATGTGCAGGCTCCAGGCTGGGGTCCCCTCCACTCAGCCCCTGTAGCACCAGTCATGCTCAGGCACCTGGTCAGAGGACTGCATGGTGGGCAGGTAGCTGGCAGAGTGGCGTCTGGGCTCAGGGTACTCACAGCGCTCAGTGATAGTGACAGGGTCTGTAGGATGTCCAACATGGTCTTCAAGACTGTCCCACTCCAGAGCAAGTGAGGGAACCTGCACCCAGAGCCAGCTCTCAGGGCCAGGGGATGGGTCCCCCCGGAAGCCACGCCTGTGGCAGCTGAGGACTGACGAGGTCCTGGGTCCCCACACGCGCTCCCCCCTCCCAGGCACTCTGCAGCAAGGCGGTAGCACCAGATGGAGGAGCTGCCCAGGCCCCTGTGGCCACCCGTGTGTCACCCCGGCCACGAACCACCCAGACTGCACCCCTGCTCCCCAAGGTGACGCTCCAGCTGCTCAGCTCTGGCTCCCCAGTCATGCCCCACCAAGAGGAAACAGAAAACAGGCTGAGTGTGGGGGACGCTTTCCTGCATCCCCAATCACCTGTTCATCATCAGTTAGCTAAACCCACCATACGCTCACACATCTACCCAGCTGCACCTACCCATGCACACCTACCCACATGCATAACCACACACACACCGTACTCACATACCTACCCCCACACACACATCATACCTGTACACACCTACCCATGCACACTTACCACACACCCACTACACCTACACAGGGTGCTCATACACCTATCCATGCACTTACACACACAGATAACCACACACACACACACACTACATTCACATACCTACCCCCCACTATACTCATATACCTACACCCACATCCACACTCTCACCCCATACTCATACATGTACCCTTCCACAGTACCTGCACATACCTACCCCTGGACACCTATCCACACCTCCCCCCACGATACACACCTAGCCACAAGCACCTAACCACACCCTGCCACACCCACATATGAGTACCTGTACACATGCACCTACCCATGCACTCACACTGTAGTCATCTGTCAGCATCCACCTACCCAAAGACACAACCAGACACACACCTACTCACACACACCTACCCATGTGCACAATATACTCACACATCTACCTCCCCCCACACTATACTCACATCTACCCACAAACATATCCACACACACACACACTATACTCACACCCACTACACTAACATGCTGATATGTGTATCTCAGACACACACACACACCGGCACAGACATACTGTACTTACGCTCATACTCTCACACATGCCATATACACAACTACTCACACGTTCACATTCACACACAGACTATACTCACCCGTACTTTGCACATACACTCACACCAGCACACATACTATATACACATTCAACCATACGCTCATGCATATACTCACATCACACTATTCACTCATACATATATGTACACTCAACACAACATACTCACACACACATATGTGCAGACTATGCATTCACACTCATACATGCACTCACACACACACACACTATGTACTTATGTACACTCACACAATGTACTCACACACTGCATTCACACACATATGTACACACACTATGCACTCACACATGCACTCACAGATACTATGCACTCATACATATGTGTACTCGCACACTCATACACCTCATACACATTAGGTACTCATGTACACTCACACATACTATGCACTCACATGTACTCACACACTATGCACTCACACATATAAAAGTACACTCACACATACACACTATGCACTCACTCACATACATACATGCACTCACACACACACACACACACACAATCGGCACACCCGCAGGCACACAAAGCACAGGAAGCAGCAGGGGCGCTCACTTGTCCACCAGGCCTGACAGGTACTTGTCGGCCACCCTGCGGATCCGCTTATGGATGTGGTTGAAATTCACCAGCAGGAACTGGGCATGTCGTTCCAGCTCCTCCTCGTTCTCTTTGGTCTTGGCCTAGAGGTGCAGGAGACACTGCATAGTACCCGCCCCGGAAGGGTCTGGAAGGCACTGGTTTCGCTCTGACAGGGCTTACTTTATCGGCCATCATGTTCAGGAAAGCATCGAACACCTTGTCGGCGACAGCGATGACGCATTGCATCATTCCTGAAACGAGAGGACCACCGGTCAGAGGCTTCCATGGCAAGGGGCCCAGAGACGGGCAAACGTTTCCTGAGAGCACTGTGGGCTGATGAGGAGCAGCACGGACGGCACAGAGGGCACCCACAGCCCCATCAGCCCACTCCCTGACATCAGCCACTCCATCACCATGGCGCACGGCTCAGAACCCCGAGACAGGCACTAACTCAGAGCTCCTAACGCACTTCGGACCAGCGCAGGTATTTTGTAGATGGTACCTCGATTCAGTTTTGTTTGATGTTTTCACAAAGGAGCTCTGGTGGTATAGTGTCTAAAGCATTTGGAGGCTAACCGAAAGGTCAGCGGTTTGAATCCACCAGCCGCTCTGAGGGAGGAAGATGCATTAGTCTGCTTCTGTGAAGACTGACAGCCTAGGAAGTCCTGTGGGGCAGTTCCACTCTGTCCTCTAGGAGTGCTATGAGTTGGAATGAATTCCATGGCAACGGGTGTGGTTTGAGCTTTGCTTCCATGAAGATTGACAGCTTTGGAGACCCTCTGGGGACGTTCCACTCTGTCCGCTAGGGGCGCTGTGAGCCAGAATCAACTCCACGGCAGTGAGTTTGTTTTTGTGTAATCACACTATCTTCTTGTGCATTTTACAATAAACTGTCTTTTTCTGGAACGAGGATTACAAACTCTTATTTCTGACAAACTAAACTTGTTTCAGTCACCCAGGATAGGGATAAGACATTGCATTCCTGTTCAGATGGTGACAATGTGTCCACCGGCTGTTCCTTTAAAAGGTTCTGTGGTCTCTGCACCCTGCTCCTGACGCTTACAAAGGTGGTAGGTCCCAGATAACAGCCAGTCAGCCTATCAGTGACACCCAAGTATTGGGTCCTCCCAGCAGAGGGCCCATAACATCGGTGCTGGAGGGCACAGAAGAACTGGCATTGGGCACAGAACCACGCTGCCTAGGGCCCGTGGGCAGGAGCGGGGCCAGAAGCCATTCTTTACTATAAGGATATATGCTTTATGCCAACCTAGTAAAAATAGTACAAAAGACCCATCGCCATCAAGTCAATGCCAACTCACACCCGTGTGACCCTCCTTGGGTTTCCGAGGCGGTAGATCTTTATGGAAGTAGATTGCCCAGTCTTCCTTCTGTGGAAGTGGCTGGTGGGTTTGAACCACCAACCTTCTGGTAAGCAGCGCAGTGCCTTAGGCACTGGGCCACCAAAGCTCCTTCCACCATAGTCCAGGGTTTCCCAAACCTGTGCCCTCCAAATTTCCTTTCTATCACATCATCATGGATGCTATCTACAGCTCAAGGCACCACCAAGCAGCAACCATCAGCTTACCTGACTTGTCTTTCTGAATAGCCTTGTCCTCAAAGTAGCAGAACATCACCTGGAAGCGGTCAGGGTCTGCTGATCGGAGCACCCTGCAAGGAGGAAAGACTCAAGTGCGTAACACAGAGTCCCGACGGGGAACGGACTCAAGTACGTAACACAGAGACCCGACGGGGAACAGGCTCCAGTGTGTAACACAGAGTCCCGACGGGGAACGGGCTCCAGTGTGTAACAGAGTCCCGACGGGGAACGGGCTCCAGTGTGTAACACAGAGTCCCGACGGGGAACGGGCTCCAGTGTGTAACACAGAGTCCCGACGGGAACGGACTTGAACACAGACACATGGAATCCTAATGGATGAACAGACCTGAACACAGACACGTGGAATCCCAATGAGAAACAGATCCTAGTACATGCACATGGTTCCCTACAAGGAGAATGGACTCAAGTATGTAACACAGAGTCCTAATGGGGAACGGATCTGACACAAACACACAGACTCCTGATGGGAACAGGCCCGAGTACATGAACGTGGCACCAGAATCCCAATGGGGAACAGATCTGAACATATGTACGTGGAATCCTAACTGGGGAACAGGTCCAAGTATGAGCATGAGGCACTGTACAAGGAGAACAGACGTAAGTATGTCACACACAGTCCCAACGGGGGAAGAGACTCAAGTATGTAACACAGAGTCCTAATGGGAAACAGACCAAAACACAGACACACGGAATCCGAACAGGGGAAGAGCCGAGTATACGCACATAGCACCAACAGGGGAATGGACACAAGTACAGACACGCAGAATCCTAATGAGGGAGCAGACCTGAGCATGTGCGCAAGGGACCCTAATGGGGCAACGGCCCTGAATGTCTGGGGAACAGACCTGAATGAGGGAACGCAGCCCTAGTTCAGTGGTAGAATTCTCGCTTCCCGTGTGGGCAGCCAGGGGACCCTCACGTGTTGCTCTGATGCTGAACAGGTTTCAGCAGAGCTTCTAGACCAACGTGGACCAGGAATAAGGGCCTGGTCATGGATTCCTAAAAACCAACTCATCACAAACCCCTGGCTGGCTGACACCACTCAGTGGGCGGAGCCGGCCAGGAAGAATTCTCTTCCTCGGTGCGTGGGGTCAGCACGAGTCCGGGCCACCCTGACAGCAGCGACAGCAACAGCAGACTGACAGGAACGCTCTGAACGGCAGCGGACATGTGGCACTCGCATTGCTCGGACCAGGAGGTCTGCCACCGGCGGCAGATCAGGAGGGTGGGACACACAAGGACTCTCTCAGCAGCGGGACTGCACAACCCCAAGTGGAAACCAACTAAAGGGCCATGTGCACTGAAAACAAAGGACATCCACCGGGGGATGTGACTGTCAGCCAGCCCCAAACCAGAGGCAGTTCCACACCTGCTGTGACAGGTGACCCTGGAGACAGGCGAGGTGAGGAGGTAGGATGTGGGTACGACACGGGGAGGAGGCCCCGGTGTGTGGGGACAACACGGGGAGGAGACGGAGCATGGGTATGACATGGGGAGGAGGCAGGGCACGGGATGACAGGTGGAGGACGTGGGTCGCGGGGAAGATATGGGGAGTATACCGGGTATAGGGATGCACAGGGAGGACGTGGGGCATGGGGACGACGTGGGGAGGAGGCGGGGCACGGGATGACAGGCTGAGGATGTGGGGTGGGGGGGGGACACAGGGAGGTGGCGGGTCACGGGGATGACATGGGGAGGAGGTGGGGTGCAGGACAACACGGGGAGGACAAGGGGTACGGGGATGACACGCGGAGGAGGGGGGGCCTGGGACAACAGGTGGAAGACGCGGGGCATGCGGATGACATGGGGAGGAGGCAGGGCACGGGATGACAGGCAGAAGTTGTGGGGCGTGGGATGACGGGGTGTGGGGATGAGACGTGGAGGACAAGGGGCATGGGGACAACACATGTAACATATCCTGTGGATGGTTTTCTCAATGTCTGCGAGCGTGGTTTGTGTGTGCAGGACACACGTGCTTCCATACACAGAGAAGGTTCCAGAAGGGAGAGTAAGAGTTCCCAGTGGGAGTTGGGGTTTTAGGAATGAGGGAGCCAGGGTAGGAAAGGGTGACAGGTGTGTTTCCAGTTTGGTTCCCTCTTCATTTTATGCACCACAGACATCCTCCTTTCCTTGGTCAGAAGTATCTTTGATTTTGGGGGAAAGGAAGTGAGAGGAACAAGCACGTGTAGGAACCGCGCCCTGTGACAGGCGCTTCAGAATGTGGAGGGCTCGGTGCAGACACCCGGCCTCACGCCCAGCGGCACCAGCCCGTGATGACTACGTTGGGCAGTCTGGCTGCTGCAGCCACACGCCTTCTCCCACACACTCTCATGCTCCTGGCTTTCAAGTCACTTCTGAAGTTCTCTACTTTACTTTTCTCAAAGTCCTCCCGCAGCCTGGGGATGTTAGCTAGGCCCTTCAGTAAAGACAACTGGGTCGTTTCTCATGACCCACAGGCCTCAGAAACCTGGTGGGCAGCCTCAGGCGGGCAATGGGCGGGTGTGAGCCGCCTGGACCTGTGCTGTTGGTCTTGCTTGGCCAGGCGCTCAAGGGCCTGTCTTGAGAGCCACGGCACAGCACTCACAGGCACCCAGTAGGACAGCAGGCCCCGGCCCTGCCTTTGAGCACGTGAGGCTGAGGGCCCCGGCCACCTCCTGGCCAGACACGTGAAGGGTAAGACCACGCGTGTGCTCGGTTTTGGCTCGGCGCGCTCTGCGTTGGTTGGGTTTTCTTTGGAAATACTTCCTTTCAAAAAAGCCCAGGAGGAAGTAAATTAACACGTGAGAGGGATGAGCTTTGTCCCTCCCTATATCTCCTAGCTTTTGGTAATGTTTACATGTTAGTTTTACAATCAGAAACAAACATATTTACAATGAAAGAAGAAAAGAAAGTCAAAACTCCCTTAGCTCTGTGGCAATCTGGGGAAAAGAAGTCACAGGGGAGTTCTGGTTTTCAGATTCCGCTGTCGTTGGGGTTGAGGGGTGGCAGAGAGACAAGGCGGAGGGCAAGGAGGAGCTAAAAGGGGGCTCGCTCCCACATCTACCAAAACCACCTCGATCTGTTCGACATACTGAGCTCTAAGTAAGAATTCTGTGACCCAAGGGTTTCATGGTCACACGTCACCTACTGAGGTGGAATCGATTCCGACCCACAGCGCCCCTAGAGGACAGAGTGGAACTGCCCACAGGGTCTCCAAGGCTGTCAATCTTCACAGAAGCAAAGCCCCAACCACACCCAGTGC